AAGACGAAAGAAAGTGAGACAACTTTATTGCTTTTATAGAAGCTTCGGGCTTCGGGCTTCGCGAAGTGAAGTGAAGAAGAAAGTCAAGAAGCAGAATACCGAACGAATGGTGGTGTCTGGCGGCGGAAACTCGTTTTGTCCGAACCGAAGAAAGTTGTCGGAGTCAGTCGCAGAGTCGCAGTCAAGAATGCTGCACTAATTGGTAGCCAAAGCCAAAGTGGGAGAGAACATCATAGAAAGAGAGTCAGCGAGAGAGAGAGAAAGGGAGATGAAATGGCATTGTAAGTGTGTTAGTTGGTCTGCGGAGATCCCCAACAAGACCTTGGTTTTGGAAGCTTATCTAACAGAAAGTACTCTCCCCCCAGAGAAAGAGATAGATAGAAAGAGAAATAGAGAGAAAAATTTGAGTGGCATGGATTTTCTACAGAGATCATTTACGAGATTTTAAAGTCTTTCTCTTAGGAACTTCTTACACATTTTTAGTTATAAGAACTTATCCAAAATTCGTTCTCTATTTTTGTTTTCTGTTTACTGAATGCTTTGTTTTTTTTTTTGACTACTTTGCTCTTTGTCTTTTATTTCTTTTGTCTGCTGCCTTTCCTCTCTCTCCCTCTCTCTACCACTCTCTTTCTCTATGTTTCATTTCACTTTTTCTTTCTTTCTCTGCGGCTAATCAAGAATAGACACGTTCCTGTGTATTGGTGTGTGTGTGTTTTTATATACAAAATATTTCCCAATTTCTTTTTCTATTTTTTCACGCTATTTTTATTGTATTTTGGACAACATTTGTGCATACACACTACTGACATAGTTTGGGCCTTTTTTTTTTGGTTTGTTTTTTGTTAAATAATAATTATTATATTTTTAGCGCCTGGCTGCTTGCGGCACAGTGGGGCAAGACTGTTGTACATCTGTACATATCACTGAAATAACAGAAAACATATTTGGAATAGTTTTCCACAATTAAATTTCACTTTTCGATTAGCTCCCTATCGCTGTTTCGCTTTCGGGCTGCAGCTTTTGCTGTTGTAAATATTATTTTAGTATACAAATTATTTCTAGTTGCGTTGCGTTGCGTTTGCTTTAGTCGTAGTCCCAGCTACAGGCCGGCTACAGGTTGTGTCATTAACCTATAAAAACGTGTTCGCATAGAGAGTGTGAGAGAGAGAGAGAGCAAGCGTTTTATTGCACTTGAATGTCTCTGCTATCTCCGTGGCTTCTTCTCTTACTCTCTCTCTCTTTGCAAATTAATGCCAATTCTACGAAAATAGCCAAAAAGAATGCAACACACAAACACACACACAGACACACACACACAGACATCGTTACCAGGCGCTTTCTATGGCCTGTGACGTCACTAATGTGTGCGAGTGAATAACTTTCAAGATGGCCGCCAAATGCAGTTAGACGTTTTTGAAATTTGAATATGAATCAGGTTTTTGTATCTGTGAGAGAAAAACTAAGTGAAGTCATTTGGTGACGAAGTGACGAACAGATTTCAATATTAAGGGTCACATTTTAGTGTTAGTATTACCAGAATTTATTTGCATTTGAACTGTGACTTAGAAGAACTTTAATATATGATGATGAGATCGATCTGTACAGCAAATATCATAGAAATTGGTTAGCTATTACAGCGAGAATAAAGAAAACAAGTTTATATTTGCTGAAAAACAATCTCCATCTCCCCCACCCATCCATCACACCCTGCAATGGCATATCCATTAGTTATGATCTCTGGCGAGGGTTAACATCCATAACTCTGATATCTTAATCGTTTTCCATCCATGATGACAGCTAGAATATTTTGCATAAATATAAATAAGTACGACTAAAAGTCAAAGTCAAGCAATTGTAATGCCAGCGGTGTGTGGAGGGGGGGGGCTTATCAATGTCAGGCGACGGTGGAGCTGCGGAGCTTACAACAATGTAAATAACCGTACAATGTATCACGGTGGGAGGGTGGAGCTATTCAAAGAGGGCAGAGGAGGAGCTTCACAAAAACTCGTGCGGAGGGGGGGAGAGAGAGACTGGCAGTGTGAGTGGGGGGAGAGTGCGATCATGAGCAATGCGGGCGTCAACAGACCGCCCCGCCACTGCTCAGCCCTGTCTCGCCCTTCTGCGCTCTACGAACCCCAACCCAATGAGCGGGAGAGCGCAATTACGTTTTGCGCTCATTAAGTTTGGGTGCTCGGGTTCGGGTTCTTGGCGCTTCGCTTGCACACGAAGTGCCAGCAATGGCTCTCTGCTGCGCTGCGCTTGCTGTTCGGCTGTTCGCGGCTGATCGCGATTGTCGATAGCTGACAGCAGCCAGCAGCAGCAGCAGCAGCAGCAGCGACAACTGTGAAATGGCGGCACAAAATCATTGACCTCAATTTTTTCGTCATGCGAATACACACACACACACCACACACACACATAGGTATAAGGTGGGTAATTGCATGTGTGTGTGTGGCAGAGTGCAAGTCGTCGTCAGAGAGACAAGCGAAAAACTTGTCAACTGGCGTTATCGTTCTGGTTTTATCGTTCACACAAATACTACGAGTACTTACTACCCCGCCCCGCGTACATTTTGCTTAAATTGTTTGCCATTGTATGTATGTACATATAACTCTGCCGCTCCACCTTTATTTGTTGTTGCTTGTTGCTGTCCTTGAGCTTTAGGATCGGCTTGAGGTGTTCGTACATACAGCCAGCAGATATACTCGCATACACAAAAACAAATTATGTCATAGAAAAATATCGAGCAACCCCCTAGAAAGTTGGACAAAAGAAATGCAAATAAGCTTCGCATCGCAGTCAAACCAAACCAAACAACCCGGTATGTCCAGAAACGAAACGAAATAGTAGAACAAAAAAAAAACAGTTGTTCAAAGAGCACACACACACACACACACACACACACATGATGTTGTTGTTGCTGCCTCGCATTGCAGTTAACCAGCAGCCACAGCAACCGCCATCTCTTTCAGGGGCTAAGGTCGTGTACTTGAGCTTGTCATACTTTTCGCACAGGCACGTAGCACGTAGGCGGGAGAGAGAGAGAGAGAGAGAGAGAGAGAGAGAGAGACCGCTGCTGCACATGCATATGTATGTGCACATCGACTGCTAAAGTTCAGTTTGTCCTTGCGGTACATGCTTGTTGCTGCCTTGCCGCAGCTTGGCCTGGATCGAAGGCGAAAAGGCATGCCCTAGTTTGAGCTGTGTGACCTAATTTAAGTCATTTGGAGCGAACAAGTTCGAAAGCTCAAAGTAAAAGTAGCTTAGAAGCTGCACAAAGTATAAATATTTCATTGAATTTCGTGAATTTATGAAAATTATTAATTAGTTATTAGTAATCATAGTTTCAGTACATCAAGCGGCAAAATAAAGCAACTATAAATATAGATTAAAACTACATAATGTGGGTCTTCGCCAGAGCGACAGATAATGGTAACAACCATTACAAGTTTGATCCTTCCATCACCCAAATCTCCCCAGCCCTAGACAGAGCCTTAACCGCAGCGCCCAGTCGAAATGCAGCTCTATTGGTGCTCTCTGTCTCTCTGTTGTTTCCTACGCTGATGACCCTGCCCCGGGGCCGACACTTGGAAACTGTGTCACAGTCGCAGAGGCAGGCGCTGGCCTGCATCGATTTCTGATTGTGCTGTGTCCTTGAACTCCCACGCATCCGCACAATTTGGGTCGAAATGCAAATGAAATCCCCCTGACCACACCAACCCTCCTCAGCAATCTCAGTGTCCCGAGAGGAGCCTGACCCGACCCGATCCGACCCGACCTGACCTGGTTTACCCGGTCACTGCATTTGGCACGAGGTCAATTCCACAGCAGCCGAAGCGAAGGCTGCCACGAAACGGAGACCGAGACCCAGACCGGGTGACGTCACGGCGACCGCTGCACAATTGCAGCCAATTGCTACCGAAGGAGGAAGGGGGCGAAAAACAACGAGGCGGCATAAAGAAGAAGCGCAAGATGGAAAAGATGGAGAAGAATTCCTTGCGACTCGGTTAGCTCACTCGCTTGCCACGTTTCGCTGCGGGGAGGCCCTAAATATAGAACAACTTGAGGTAGGTTCAAAATCGAGCTGCAGTCCCGCTTCAGCTCCCGGGAGCAGCAACAGCCACTAAAACCGCCCTTATACTCCCTCCCTCCCCTAGCTCCCCTCCCTCCCCATAGCACATGGCTCTGTCTCTGCTGTCTGTGTGTGTGTTTATTGGTTCTGTGTTTGTGTGTGTGTGTGTGTGTGTGTGTGTGCTGTGTACCATGACGCTGCTGATAAACTGAACAACAATGCACATGCACATGCCTCCTCTCTGTTTGAGTGTATGCATCTGTGTGTCGATTGCCCTGCACTCCACCACCCTTCTTCCCCAACAACTGACTTTGAAGACTTCTCCCCCCCATTCATCCTCTGCCACTCATCAACAAAGAGAAACAAAAACAGAAAGAGAGAAAGAAGGAGAGAGAGAGAGCGTGCTAGGGTGGGGGATAGAGATGAGGAATCACAAGAAATACCATAAAAAAATGCCTCATAAAATGCTCTTTCGTGTAATAAAATATAATTAGTGCAATGTACTGCCACAGATGGGCGTGGTCGGGGGAAAACAAAACAAAAACGAAACAGGGAGATTGAAAAGGAAAAGAAAAAGAAAAACCCTGACAACAATTTGTGGAATTTGCCTGCACAGTTCAAACCAAAAAATTTGATTCAATTTACGAACGGGGGAAAATTCCCAAAAAATAACATTTGATTTTGGCAGAAAAGCTTCCAAAAATATTTCATTAATCAACGAGTAAGCCAACAATAATTCAGGGACAATTTCGGGAATTGTAGTTCCAACACTCCAACTAGAATTTCTCTTTGGAAATTCAAATATTTTGTTGGCATTTGAAAGTTCCATTTCTTTATTCATTCCATTCAAATCGTGTATTGTCGGTATATTTTTCTATCCCTAAAGGGCACTGTTACGCATGTATATAAGAACCCTATGGAGACTCACCTGATGAAATGGAATTTGCTGAATCACTGCGCGGTGTGTGCTGCATGGCCATACCCATGCCACCGACACCGACACCGACACCTGCTCCGCCTCCTACTCCTACTCCAACGATGCCGCCGCCACCGATGTTGCCGCCTCCGAGGAGGCCATTCGAATTGCCATTTGTGTGCAGATGCGAATTGAGGCCCATGCCATTGACGCCTCCGCCTCCGCCACCCAGTCCGTTCTGTTGCAAGTGCAGCGGGGTCGTGGTCGAGGGCGTTGTGGAATTGATGAGACCGTGTCCATTCTGCATCTGCTGCTGCTGCTGCTGTTGTTGCTGCTGTTGCTGCTGCTGCTGCTGCATTCCGTTGAGCAGCCCTCCGCCATTGACCAGGCCGAGTCCGTTGGCCAGGGCGCCCAGATTGGTGGCACCCGGAACGTAGTGGCCATTCCCATTGGAGCCATTGCTGGAGCCATTGTTGATGGGGATGATGGTGGTCTGGGCGGGCAGGGTGCTGGAGCAGCCGTGCATCGCCAGGGCGATGACGCTCTGCTGTTGTTGTTGTTGTTGTTGTTGTTGCTGTTGCTGCTGCTGCTGCTGTTGTTGCAGCTGCTGGGCGACACCAACACCGACACCGACACCGCTGCCGTTACTGTTGCCGTAGGGGCCGGTATCGTTGCCGCATAGCCAGAGATCCTGGTCGCAGTAGTCGTGCGAATCCAGGGATGAGGGGGACATGTTGACGCCGGGCAGCACGAGGCCGTTGGAGGAGGAGGTCACCTCCGAGGAAGACTCCTCCGGCACGCGCAGGAAGCCCCCGTTGTTCGACCAGCGTCGTTTCATCATCGTTTGGTAGCCGACGGTCGCCGTTTTGTGGCCGTTATCCTTGCACGCTCTCGCTGGCTGGGGACAAGCGACTTGTCCCTGGCAAATGGTCCAAAAGAAAGGAGAGAAAGGCTTGGCCTTCTTCTTCTTCTGCAGCTCCTTTCAGGCAGGAGTGTTCCCAGTTCGAGTTCTCCTTCTACCCGCTGCTGTTTTGGTGGTGTGCGACTGCCCGACTCAGTGGGGTTTGGAGTTTCAGGCTTTCTTCGCTCCTTTTTGCTCTTGCTGTACTTTTGGGTAGTTTTTTTCTATTATTTTTTGCGCACCTGCTTGCGCTCAAAATACATCTTCGCGGGCCTTCCTCCTCATTTAATACTCTGAACAATCGAAAGCTGCAATAGAGAGGCGGGGGGGTAAAGAGAGAGGCCCGAAATGAGTCTACGGAAATGTTCCTTCAATCTGAATCTGAATCGGAACCCGAACCCGTTTTCGTTTTCGTTTTCTTTCACAACATTTTATGGTCACACTGAAAGAGTACTAGAGACTAGATAGGCAGTGGTAGGATAGGTTCAACGCCCCTGAGCGCGCGTGGGGGGTGGGGGGGGGCAAGAAGAGCTCATGAAATTTTCATTTCATTTAATTGCAAATTTTTTCGCTTTACCTTGAACACAGTTCAGCTAAGCCGCCAAAGCAAGCCCCCAAGCAGCAGAACCGAACCAAAACCTATACGAAAAGGAATACATAATTCTTGAATAGATCAACCATCAACACCGTCGCTCGACACATGTTCCGCTTCGTATCTCAGTGCGGAAATCTCGGAAACCCCCTCGTTTCCCGGTAACCACTCTACCAGAGATTGCAAACTTCTGATAGACCACAACACACAGAGCATCTCTCCATTTCTGTGCTCTGCTCTGCTCTTCTCTTCTCTTCTGCTGTCTTCTCTTGACCAGCGCGAATTTATGGTCATATGCATATGAGTATTATATTTAACTTTTTCGCAACAATTAATCTACTGGGGGGAATTTATGGGTCTTTGCAACACCCGCGACCCGCAGTCGAGTTAAATGTCACCAAAATTGATGGTCTGCCTGCCTGGTTTTGTGTGTTCTTAAATTTCCATGAAATCTGGATGTGGTTTCTGTGTTTGGATTCCTATCATTCACCAGAGGCAGTTGGAGTGGCAGAGGGTGAACATTTTCGACTTCCTCTTGAATGGAAAAACCAATCCATTTTATTTCCCTATTTACACGCGTTCTTCGTATCGCGTTGTAAGTGTAACTCTCTGTTTGTACACTTGTCTCTCTCTCTCTCTCTCTCACTTGTCTAAATGCCTTGACAATCATTTCTGTTTGCCTATTGCTCTATCCGCAATGTCCAATTTTGTGTGTTTTTTGTAGCACAAACATAGTGGACAAGTGAGGGACAAACGCAAACAGAGAGGATAGAGTTTTTTTTTTGGGAATTGGGGGGGGATCCATTTTAAGCCCCCTAGTGGAAAGTTCTTTGGTAGAGTATTTGGCGGCTTAGCTAGTTAATGAGGGCAGTTAATCAACCCCCATCATTGGCATTAGTTACTCTGACTATTTATTGTTTGTTGTTCAATCACCCCCAGCAATGTCACCATCACCCACCAATCGATTGGCAACCCAATGCCCCTGGCGATGCCATTCCCACATTTTGCTCATTTGGAAAGCAGCTAATTGAAAGACATTTAATTAGGGGAAAGTTAATCGAAGAGCATAATGTGGCGCATAAATATTTAATGCATCAGAGATATGCACATCGTAAACTGCAATGACAATTGCTCGGCGATTAGTCATGGTCTAGGTCAGTGGAGGAGATCGTTGGAGGTACGAGACTCTGTCTCTGTCTCTGCCCCTCTGTCTCTGGGTCTGAGTGTAAGACAAGAATTTCGAATTTCGTTTCGGTTTGCAATGCAGTTTCAATGATACATGTGTGTGTACCCCATACTGTACAGGTTTTGACTCATGCGAAACCTTTTACAGGTGAATCATTTGAGGGACAGACGAATCGATCGACAGTTCCAGCTCTGAGAGCAGGTTGCCCTCTCCACCCGGCTCCTTCTCCATCACCATCCCCATCTCCATCTCTTTCTGCTGCCATCCGAATATCCGAGAGAGGGAGAGGGCCCGTGGATAATAAAGCAAAAGTTTGTTAAGCGCCAAAAACTGGTTTCATTTCTTCTCGCTCTGGCTACCACACCACACAGCTTGGAGCAGAGGGAGAAGCAAAAAGCCACAGAGCGAGAGAGTGGAGCTTAGAACAAAATCGAAAAGAATCACGATCCACATGAGGAAGAAGCAGCAGAATATCAATGGCAGTGGATAGCAAAGAGTGAAGAGCGAAGAGCGGCAGGGGGGAAGCAGCAGCAGAAGAGAGACTTAGTCTAAGTTTTCAAATTCCACCCTGCGAACGGTGGGTTGCGGTGGGGGGTGTATCGTATCAAGGGAGACGGCGGCAGAACGGCCTGAGCTGAGATTTTGGCCCGCATTAAGTTAAAAAAAAAAACCTGTCGCTCTGTCGCTGTCGCTGTCACTGCCGCTGCCAACTGCTTCTGCTGCTGCTGCTGAACACAAAAACAATGCAAACAGGTTGTTCTTAAGTTTATTACGATACCCTTTGGGTAGGGTATGATTGTTCCCAGCAGCAGAGGAATTATATATACATATATTGTGGATCGAAGTAGAGAGCTGCCGTCGACTTAGGCCAGGTTCTACCCAGACCTATGACTTTTTTTATTATTGTTTATATATCTGGAGACCGTTATAATTGATTATCGCTCAATATATATTGATCAATGATTGCAGGGTATCCAAAGCTTCGGCTTAGTTAGTGTTTCTTTCTTGTTTTAGCGCTTTGTTGTCTACAAAAATATTTCTGAAAACATCAGCGACCGAAGAAAAAGAAGAGAATCAAGCCCGTATATACCTACAGATACCTACATACATATATGTATGAATTTTATATACATATGTACGTGTGTATGTATGTAAGTATAAACGACATTTAAGGCATTTTTATAGCTTTGCGTGTCGTCTTGCCTGTTGCTGCTGCTTGCTGCTGCTTGCTGCTGTTGCTGCTGCTGCTGCTGATGTTCTCTGTTGCGTTTTGCTCACTTTACTTTTATTTTATTTTGTTTTGTTGTTTTCTCTCTGGCTTGTTTTTGTTCTGTTCTGTTCTGGGCTTCTGGAAGCAAAAGCTAAAGTACAAGCCAAAAGGTATAAAAGAAAAAAAAGAGTCTGAAAGTCGCAAAGTCAAAAGGCAGAACCCGCAGACTCTGATGACTAGACCTTTCTCCTTTCCTCACCGTACCAACTCACTCTGTCTCTTGGGAGTAGAAGGGAAATGAAAGAACCAAAGAAAAACAAAACAGAAGTAAAAGAAGAATTTGTTACGCCTGAAATGAGCGCGCCCATCATTGGCTGGCGGGGGGGGTTAGCCGGAGCGAACATCTATTTATAGGCTCCGGAATACATAATGAAAATGATATACACCGGTTACAGCATGCAACAGGTAAACTTCCCATCGTGTATGTATATTTGTATGTTTGTAGGTAAATCCCATCGAAAAGTTCACGTAATATTACATGATTCCCGATAACATCTGGATTGGATCTGCGCTCAATTAACTCGAATAAACACCATGGGAATTGCTTAAAGATACGGGTGATATATGGGGTGTAAGAGTCCCCCAAAACTTTGAATGCCAGCCCAGCGATAATTAAAGTACTTTCCATATACCAAGGTGTTGCATTTCCTGGCGAACTTCTCGTTCCAAAAGCTCAATTCTAGCAACGCTCTTCGGCAACGCCTCTATTTAGTTTTTGAGGTCTAGTCATAGCTCGGAAAACATGTCCGTTTGTAAGGCGATTCTTTTGACAATTGGCTGGACACTTGCCCCATAGTTGACCCTCAAGCAGGGACTAGAGATATGTACGCGTCGTGTCCCCTGTGGAAGGGCTCCACTCACATGGAAGTATGTCAATGACTTGCACGCGACCACCGACCACCGACCACGGGAATAGTAGTAGGTAGTGGGGTCCTCCTCCTTTTATACACAATACCTAACGAGACATTCCCGAATGCAATAAACTTTATTAACTGTGCGACAACGACAACAATTGTTGTACACGCCACACACTGGGAAGGGGGAGTTGGGAGTACACGGATAGGGGGTCTTGTAGAGCGAAAACAATTAAATATCCGCTGCCGGCTTGTCCAGAAGGTTTCATAATAGGCCTACGAACACACAAACACACTTTCTGAATGAATGTTATATACATACATACACATATGTATATATATATATAGGGGAGTACAGATCCTTTTAATTTCCTGCTGTTATTTCCATGCACGTAGCAGAGAGAGAGAGCCAAGCGCCGCGCTGCGTGATTTCCATTTTCTGATGGCACCTCGCTGAGGGAAAACGGTGGGGAGAGGGTGAAACGCAACAGCCTGAAACATATGCGACACATTCCCATAAGAGTCCCCCCCACCCATTCCCCAACGAAACACACACACACTCTCATGTATATAATGCCAAAGTAAACCGAAAGATAATGGACCTGCGTGGCCCACCCAAAAAAAGACTTCAACTAATGTTCAGCACAAGAAAAATAGCAGAAAAACGCCAGGGGGATTCGAGAACAAATATATAAAGAAGCAGAACTCTTTTTTCCAATGATGGTCATCACGAGAGTATGCTATGATATGAGGGAAACTACCACTCGGAACTACTTTAAACGAGAGCAATCAAGTCAAGGCATCGCTCGGAGACCCCACATAGACAACTCTTTGCCTAATAAAGGAAAACTTCCTTCAAACCGATCGACCGCCCAATCAACAGATGACCCCATTTCTGGGGCAGTAACTTTTATTTTTGTTCAACTTTTCGTCGTTTGGTTGCTGCCAGTGAGAGATCCCCTGGATTGACGTGTGTGGCAGACACGTGCGGCAGGAAGGGGGGCAGGCCCAAGGCGCCCCGAAAAGGTAACCGCAAATAAAACTAAATATACATATAAAAGATACAGCGATACATGGTCGGTCGTGGGGTATTTATCAGGGCAAACCCCCGCCCATCTTTGCTGCTGACAACTTAACGGTGGTTTCTCTATCTCTCTCTCTCTCTCTTTCTCTCTGCATCGGTCACTCTTTTAACCCAAAACTGGTTGCGCTTTTGCTTTTCCGCGAATTTTGTTGTCGTTGTCGTTTCGACTTGATTTCGTTGTTGGTTTTCTTACTGGCTTGGGATGGGGATGTGGATGGAGGGGGGTTTGCTGATTTGGTTAAACATGAAAAATGGTGCCATTCAATTGACACACATCCGATATTTTGGGCCAAAAGACAAGAGTCGTACATATGTGTATAAACAGGTGTGGGTATATGCCACACTGCAAAAGCAACTCCAACGATTGTTGGATGGAAATCCATGTTTAGGAAGTTCCAAATGAGCATCTTCCATTAGGATAATCCACAGAGCACTCTATGAAACATCTCCCACCACATTCCAATCGTTGTTTTCCTCCCTTTCCAGCTGCTTTTCTTCCCAGGCAGATCTGTACCACAAAATCAATTAGCAATAAAAGCAAAAAAGCAAACTTTTTTAATGCCCCAACAATCCACAGTCCGGCAAAGATTTATGGCACTTTGTTTCATTCTTTGGCTTTTCCAGCACTCAACAAAAACCAAACAAAAAATACACAAAAAATATGTGACAAGGCACGCGTCTCAATTGGATGCCACACCGCCCACCGCCAACCGCCAACCGCCGACAAAAAATTAATAAAAACCCAACAAATATTTGGCAGGGGGAAGCCGAAGCCATCAGCAATTTAGAGCTGCGGGTAGTACATATATCATGCATACATAGATACTCCGAACAAGCCAAAGACAATCGCCGGCTAGCAGGCAGACAGGCAGCCTTGAGGCGCCGCACAGCTATCAATAAACAGAGGTATAAATAATAATATTAAGATACTATTCCGTACGCGAAGAAGGCAAACACACACAACGGGTTGAGGTCTCAACAAAACAAAAAAAAATGCGCTCCAATCATTTCCTTTTCCGGTTGTCTCTCTCGTCTTCGCATTCTCGTTCTTTGCCCGGCTAGCTATCGATTTGCATATATAATCGATAGACGCATTTGCATACTTCGCATCTCTAGTCGATGGACTGACCTTTTAAGATCTGTAGATAAACGTCTATCTTTTTTTGGGTAAAAATTATGAAAAGTGTGAAGACGGGTAGACACATTTCTCTTGGGCAATTTTTTATATACATTTGGCTCAGACCTTGATCTGCAGTTGGCTTATAGCCACAAAGCCACAATTAATAGCATTGCAAATGCTGTCATTTGTTTTGGTATTAATCATAAATGTTTAGCATTGATTTAGCAAAAAGAGACAAAGACGAGGTCATTACCATACATGGATGGGGCCTACTCCTCCTCCGTCTGCACCTCATCTCTTCTGTTGTTGTGCAAAAAGAAAAAGCCATTGCTGTCTTTTCACGTTGCACGGCTAATCGGAAAACAACAATAAAATTGTAACAGCTACTAGGAAAACTGTGGAAAGTCATGGAAAATCGGCATCATCATGATGATGAGAGCGTCATCGGCAATTGTCTGCGAAAGTGTCTGTCGACAGCTCAGGCTTTTTTTTTTTTTCTGCGGCATGTGAAAGTCAGAGCCAAAGAGAAAAACTAAACTGGTTCCCCAAGCATGGAGGAGCTTCGTAATGGCAAGGCACTGCTAATTACAGCGGGGGTGGGAGGGCGAGAGAGGGGGGGGTTTTCCCACCAGCAAAAACTCGAGCAGCGGACAGGAAACTCGGAGCAGAGCAGCAAACGACTGACATGATAACGCACTCAATGCAATTGCCGGACGGCGGACAAACGTTTAGAGGAGCGAACAATGGACACATCCGAAGGGGACCACCAACCAGACAGGTGGTGGAGGCTGCAAACACTCTGCAACACTCCTCATGACTCATGACCCAGTCCCCCCCCCCCACGTCTGAAGGAGTCCAGGGTGCACCCCCAACATATCGATCCGTTTGGTGCGGATGGGAGAGACGATTACATTGAACCTGAGTGAGTCTGGGCAGGTGTCTGGCAGGCAGGCAGGCAGGCAGGCTCTCACCTGTTGCCAGAACATGGAGCTTAATGGCGTTGCATGTTACACACTTTTTAAATGGTTATGGAAAGGCTATTAATTGTACCATTAGGGCGATGTTATTGCACCATTATAGCTTGTATTGGGTGTGGCTAAAAATATATGTATATATACGCCTCTCATTACCAGAAAACTTTTCCAATAAAATTATTTTAATGCCTTTTTCTACTTTTAAGCAATACCAAAATGTAATTAGAACTCATTACAAGCAAGATTTATCTGTAGTTATTAATATTCCATAGTTTTTCTAAATTAAAAAATTCTCTTAATATATCAGAAAACTTAAATTTTTGATGTGCTTTAGTTCTGTAGAAACCCTTAGATAGACGCAAAAAAAAAAAAAAACAGCCACCGAAAGAACTACATAAACAACATCCGAGTGCCATATAATAATGACGGTCTGTCTCCCCGCCATTAAGCGAGAACAGAACTGGGAATGGAATACTATGGAATACCGCCCCATGAGTGTAGTGCAGGGCAGGGCCCACAGAACATGACATGGAATGTGCTCCAAGTTGGCTCGGCTCTCTCATACATGTGTCTTTATACTCGTATTTGCATAAAATCGCATTAAAATTTGCCATTTTGCCAACTTTAATGTACCATAAAACACAAAAACACACACAAAAAAAAAACCAACAGCCACGAAGACGATGACGATGGCGATGGCTCCATAGGAAACAAGTAACTTTTTTTTGTGGTGTCCAGAAATTGTAGCAAACGAGAAATAGCAAGAATAATGTGCAAAAAAAAAATGAAAGAAAGATAGAGAACCGTAGGAAAGAAAAGCCAAGAAGAAGACGAAACTTTAACCAGGAACCCGCCCAGGAAATGGGGTGCCTCCTGCTCCTCCTCCTACTCTCCCCAGGGGCAGGGGCAGCAAATTAATTGTGGGAGAGTCTAAACTAATGTGGGGATGTAGGCCCAGAGTTGGGGCCTGTGCTGCTGTTACCTAATGCCTCATTAGCCGCCTGAAATTAGGCAACGACAAAAAATTGAAACCAAAAGGCATTAGGATTTCTTTGTTTTTTTTTGATAAATCTAATAAATGTCCTTCCATGAAAAGTGGCTTTATGTCCACAAAAAAAAATTAATAAAGAGATCTAAATTAATTAGAGCAACCAAAAATATAAAGGGGAAGAAATAAAAAACCCCAAACGGTTACACATATGTATCACAGAATTGTATAAAGTTCTCTTTTGGTATTACCCCAAATGTTTTCTAGTCCCCAGCTGCATTCAATTATTTCTTTATATATCATATTATTTACACATTGCCAATTGCATCCTTCAATTTGAATATTCTTTGATATTTCAGTCCATGTTTGCACAATTCAAACTGTAAATGGCTTAAATTTCAATCGAAATCCCATCCAGAGAGGCTTAACCTATGATTTTTGTTTCCCAGAACCAATTAGAACCAGATCCCTGATTGCAATGGTTCTCAGTCCAGCCACTCCAATCCATTCACTTGACAAGCAAATTGTTAACACCACTTTGAACATCATCAACAGCAGTAAATTTGCGTAAATCAGAGAGAAGTAAATCGAATTCCAAAAGGGAAATTCAATGCCCACTTGAATTTATGAATGTATCCACACACACAGTAACATTTTTTCCAAGTATATTTTCAGCATTCCAATTACACAGTCAAGTGATTCCTGCCCATTCCATAGAACATTTTTATATTGATGTTTACGCAGAAAAATTTACAATTTTCGGTCGGTGTTCGGCCTTTAATTGGCCTTCTGTCAGTTGTCATGACAATAATTAATGTATTACCAATCGAATATACAGGAACATGTGTATCTTCCTCTCTCACTCTCTCTATCTCTTTGTCTGAGACATCCATAATGGTGTTGTATCTATGTATCTATGCTGTGTACTGTGTGTATCTTGGCATTGAAAACTGCCGCACATGTTAATGTTTGTTTTCTGCACCGAAAAGGGAAATGGTAAATGGAAAATGGGAAAATCTTTGCCCCCAGCGAGCTGACAAGTGAGTCAAGACAAGTCACAAAAACACATTAGGTTTCTCGAAAGAAAACAAAAAGATATATGTGACTTTTCCTTTTCCTCTTAACCAAAATTAGAGAACTTGTTGCGTTTTAAAGGGACTTTTATTCTTTCTTTCAGTGAACCACAAAATGTTGTTGTTGTTGTTATTGTTGCTAAAGAAAACGAGTTGGTTCTTAAGACATGATCTAGATAGGTTCCCCATTTTGCGTGTCCACTCACCATATGCATCTATATAGTGCGCCAATTCAGCTACTAATCCACAGATATCCATGAAAGATAATCCAATTGGTTGGTTTTTTTTTCACTGGTATTTCATATATATTTTTCAATTGGGATTATTACTCTTCTTCACTCGATTGTAACTGGGGGGGATGCTTATCCCTTGAGAATGCTGACTTGACACTCACACGCGCGGCAGTGACATCCTTGATGTCTGATTAACAGAGTTCACTTCTCTCTTCTCTTCTCTCTGCTGAGAATGTATCTCCACGATGATGATTTTTGCACTTTGCAGCCACTATACAATATCTATACAAATATGAATATATATGTATGTATATATTTTAAGAAATATACACTTTGCTCTCCTATTTTTGTGATTTGTGATTTGTGGTTTGGTTCTCAGCTACAATGCGTTTTGCACTTTCTTTCGAATTGCACTTGTTGTGGGGGGTTTTTATGGGTTATTTATGGGGGGTATTGGTATTTTAAAGGGGCATCTCTTTTAACAATTTCTCATAGATACTACATATATGCAACATTGGGTTTTTATATACTTTTTATACTTCTTATACTGTGTGGGATGATTAGGGGTTGGGGTGGGGGGAAACCTTTCTTTCTTTATATTTCTGAATTTTCTTTTTGTTTCGTATTAAATATTTTATTTTTGTTTTGTTTTGTTTTGTTTGGTTTTATGTTAATTTGAAAGCAAAACACAAACAGCGGACAAACGAGCGCACGAACGGGGACGAGCGGACGATCGAATCGAATCGAAGCGAGCGACCGTGCGGACGAGAACCGTTAACAACAAAATCCAAAAAACAACTCCACGACCGAAACGAACGGAATGCTGAACGCGACGTCGCCGCCACCAAAACAGAGCACAAAGTCGTCGGCGTCGCTCTGTCGACCGAGCCGCATGGAAATTCACCACGAAACACACCACCGCCACCACACGGCACAGAAAGAGACAGAGAGCGAGTGAGCGAGAGAGAGAGAGTAAAAGTCGAAAACGGAATCAGCGCTAAAGTTAAATGTGAAACGCAACACACACAAACACACTCACAGATACTCATGAGAGTATCTCCCTCTCAGGCTTGAATGAAAAATGCCGATGCAATCGTGAGATACTTTTTATCGTCCGCTCTCTCTCGCTGTGCATTTGTGTTTGTGTGTTTACTCTCTCCCGCTCTGGGCTCACATATGTGTGTGCGCGTGTGTGTGTTAGTGCCATCATCGCTTTCCTTTATTTGCCTCTTTTTATTGTATTTTTGTTGTTGTCTGTTTTCTATCGTTTCTTCTTCACTTTTCTGTTGTTGTTGTTGTAAACTTCTTTTTTTCGTCGGTTTCGTCGTCATCGCTGTCGCTACTTTCGGGTGCACAAGTGCAAATTCACACGTACATTCGAAATGTACGTTCGCACAGTGGGACAAAAACAATTGCAATTGGGAAAGGGGAATCAAAAGTTTCAATAGATTAGGATTTGGTAGATCGGCAGTAAATATGAGTACCAATCTTTAACAATTTCAATGATTTTGAAGGCATTTCAGACTGTATCGAAGACATCATCTTAAAAAAAAGACACAAATTATAGAACCACATTCCCGAGGTTAAAATAAAATAATTACAATATATTTCTTGCAATTCGAATGAGTAAAATGTACCCTTCTGTGGAGTATTTAAAGATCTAAATCACATACTATACATTTCTATGTAAAGAGGTTGCCGAAAACTACATTGCAAACCTTCACTCTCCATTTTAGCTAATCTCAATAATCTCGGCTGTGTTGCTCATCCCACACCACAACCTATCCATAACCCAAGTAATTCAGCCATAAACTGTTCCACCTGCCCTTAGGCTACATTTATTGTCTCAATAATTCTTCGCCATTGAAAAAAGAATGCAAGAGGGTCGGGTCCTTTGCAGACCTCACTAAATTGGAACAATTCCAATTCGATATATGTACATATATGTGGATAGGGCAAGCACACACAGAGCAAAGGAAAATGAAATTTTCCCCTTGGGCAGTGGAGAGGTACAAAAAAGAATTGAGCATCGAATGAGACATAATTGATGGAAAGGCAGCCACCAGATCAACAGAAGTCATGCAACAACAGCAACAGCAACAACAACACCAGTGGAGAGTGTATGTTTGTACAGAATGTATCTACGGGTGTACATGTTTGTTTGTTTGTTTGTCTGTATATTTGTGTAGCGATTGACCGTCGTCGTCTGTTGGGCGGCGTATAAATTGCACATTTCAAATACATTGTGGTTAAAAAGTAAATGCAAACCGAGATACAGATACACGCTCCCTCTCTCTCTCTGTCTCTCTCTATGCCCTCTCTCTTGTGTTTCCACTCTCCTCCTTCACCTGACGACTTGCTGTCTGTCTATGTGTGTGTGTGTGAAGCAAGTTCAAGTGTAGAATGCAATAGAGAGAACTGCAATCGAGAGAGAGAGACTCACTCTTTCCCCCTCTCTCACTCTCTCTCTGTCTTTCGCTCTGTACGCATACGCATAGAAAAGCCGGCAAAGGCAAGTACAAGTCTGCACAGAGGGGGCGGAGAGGGGACATAGACTGTGGTGAATTTCTCTAGCTCTCTCTCGTTTTGGCTAGACACCACATTGAACCACAAAGAGTTCAAGATTGAAAACACAAAATATCAACAATGACAGCTGAGTAGAGTGCCCCACAGTGCGGGGGGAGGAGGAGGAGGTGTGGAGAATGGGGATGTTCTCTCTCTACATATTCTCTCACTATATCCCTCTCTCTCTCTCTCTGTCTCTCTCTGTCTCTCTATCTGATTGTGTTTGTTTATCCATACAAATACAGCTGCCTTCTGCATGCTATGATGTCTTGTCTGCCACAGATTCTGCCTCTTTTGCCACATCCCCCATCCCCCAGGCAACACTCCCCCCCCTCTTCCGTATGCCTTCGCTAAACCCACCCACACACAAACACACCCTTTCGACGCTTCTTGGCCGACTGCCAAACGTCGACGACTCTCCTCCGACAGTTCAGTAGTACAGTGGAACAAATTGCTTTGGGTGTGAGTGCAACAGTCAGTGGTGTATCTGTAACTGTGTGTGTGTGTGTGTGTGTGTGTGTGTGTGGAGAGAGAGAGAGAGAGTTTGTCTAGTTGCGGGGGTGTTGGTGCGGGTGGGGGGATAGGGAGGAAGTCATGTGCACGCCGTTTGTTGGGGTAGTTCGCCGGCACAAAAGATAAATAGAAATAGAGAAATAGAAGAGCAAAGAGGAAACTGAGAAATGAGGAAAGAGATGTATGTATGTTTGATGTATGGCACTGTGCATACCCTGGGAGTGTGAGGTTAGAATGTAAGTCCCTTAAACTTCTCTTGAATTTTTTTTTTAATATTAATGGGAAGAGTTTGCCACTAGCTCTAAATTGTAAAGTAAAGACCAATATTATTCTGAAACAATTTCTAATTTCTCCAGGGAAGTTCCTCAAGCTGGTTCTTCCCCTCCAAATATCTCCTTTACTTTCCAATACGGAAAATTCTGGCTCTGGCACTGGTTCACACCACACACTCCACTCGCAGATTCTGGCTTATGGGTTAAAACACACCTCCACCCGTTCCCGATTGCTTACAACTCACAGACACCATTATGTATCTGTATCTTTACACCACTCTCCAGCTATCTGTCCATCTGTATATGTATCTGTGTGCCTGGGCACTCGACTAGGGAGATAGTACTCGTAGCCGGGCTAGAAAACAGCAAAACCAAGAGCAAGAGCAAAAGAAAAAGAAAAAGAAAAACTTGTCTACATGCCTGTCGTACAAGCTGCAAAATTTATGCGAAGACACACAAATCCACTGAACGAGAGACCCCGACAACGAGAGACGTTGGTTGGTGCCGCCTGCCGCCTGCTGCCTGCTTCTGCTTGTAGTTTTGCCCATAGACAGGCCAGCACCACCACCAACATGCTCCATGCACCATGCACCATGCCCCATGCACCACACCACTGCATTCAATCCCCCACATTAGCTCTGCTCCACCTCCGTATTGATGCAAGTACGCGGAGCTCGCCGACATAGGCATGGACATAATAATAATTTGTTGGATTTTCTTTTGCCAGTCTGGTTTGCCTTGTTTGGTGCGGATTCGTAGCGGGTTCGGTGAGGTTTCGCTGCGGATTCGGTTCGGTTCGGTATGATTTTGACTTTGAATCGGGTGCCACAACACAGCGATGGATGTAGTACCCGCAGTGGTGGACGGGGGCAGGGCACGTCGAGGCAATGGCAAAGTCAGGTTTAATGTCGTTCAGTGGCGCGGCGGCTTTTTATTTTTTTTTGCCGTTGAGGTAGTCAAAGCCACGCGACAGAGAGCCAGAGAGAGAGCGAGTGAGTGAGAGAGCGAGAGTAAGAGTAAGAGGGAAAGGCAAAAAGGGAGCCATGACATCAAAAGTGGGCTGAGGCCGCAGCGCTCGTCGTTGTCGTCGTTGTCGTCGTCGTCGTCGTGGGCCAAGGAACCACTGAAAGACCGAAAGACCAACGACAGACCAGACCGTGTGGGCAAATAGTCAAACATCGGGTATCGGTGGTTGTTTCCCGATAAGCGTCTATGAATGGGTAATGTAATGTAATGGGGCACTGCCGGACAGCAGAGTCGGTGCAGGAAGGGGGGTGGCATGGGGCAGGGCAGTGGACATTGCAGGGAGTTGTCCAGCAAGAGCGTGCAAGTAAATACTATATGTACATATAGGAAAGCCCACCGAAAAAAAAAACGAGAACAACAAAAACAAAACCCGAAAAACCAACTCAAAAAACCCGACAAAGGGACCCGCGTGCCCCTCCGACCTGGCTACCAGTCAAGGTGGACCCCACCCGCCCCCCCCGCCCCCCCCCCAAGGGCCACCTGGGACACAACGTCCCACCCCGCATACCCGAGACCCGGCGGTAACAAAGCCCAACACCCAAACCCAACTTGGACGACAAAATGCACCCGAACCGGCAAACGGGAAGGACAAACCCCCAGCCCCCCCCACACGGCCCAACCCTCCAGGCAAACCGTCCCTCCGCCAGAACCCACCCCACCCCATCTGAACCGAAATAACAACACTAAACGACCAAGGACATACCTGTCTGGCGAAAATACCATATAATTTGTAACCGAAATAAACAAAATGTGCAACAAAGCCCTACTATAATACGAAAGGCCAAAAAAAGTAAACCCCTACTAAAACTAACCTACAAACGCCCAAAATGAAATATGGAAATGAGATCGTTCATACATCACTGTATATATATATTCCAATACATAAGTAGACCTTAAATGGGTGGTGGAAGGTCGCGCATGGCACAGTGGGATAAATTGGCATCAAATGAAAGTGGAAAATGCATTTAATATGGAAAAATATCAAAGTAAAATATTCACTACTATCGGTACATTATTTAGGAATATAGGAATTATCCCTAAGGTAATAAACTATTAAATATACCAATTAATATATGCCTTAATTAGCACTTACACATATTTTGCGTTTGTGGCTTCTTGGTCATAAATCAAAGACAATAGTAGATAGTAGATATAGCATATACAGTAGTAAAATAATATTCCTCCCACAATCACACAATGTTGCACTCAAACCAAACCAATGCACTTTAAATTCCAGTCTTGAATATGGGAACTCGTATCGAAATACACAATTGACGCTTATCTGCGTATCGTGTTCTGTTCTCTTCTGTTCTCCCCTCCCACTGGACAATGTCTAATGCATTTCCCTTCTTATCAAATCAGTTTTTGGCGCCCATTGGGGACAGACACTGGGGTCCTCCGTCGTCAGTTGATCGACAGTTGCTTTTTATATTCAACTTATTATTGCTTGACTTTTTACTCCCATAAATTCTTTTATTGCAGCACTTACCATTCCACCAGATATTAGCATAATAAAGTTGGAAATATATTGCAAAGTAACGACCGATCTGAACGATAACTCACCTGAAAAGATACAAAGATACAAAGTGTTTCATTAATTATCATCTATAGATTAGAGTAGAGTATCATAATCTAGTTCCTGTCCTGTATATGGGAAGGGTCGTTTCATTGAGAAAACTAAATCCAGTTCGATTCATTGACAAGAAATTAGCAACAAGCCGCAGTCCATTTTGTAGTTTAACACATTTTCAGATACATTTATTGTCGCTTTTATTTTTCCACATTTTTCCCCTCCCTTTTTGTTGTTGCTTGTGTTGCGGAAAAACCTTGACTGAATGAGTGTAGTTTCCCACATATAATTTGCATTTCCCACTGCAGAAAGAGAGCCTGAAATTTTTCCGAGATTCATTCATGGGAGTCGGGACTGGCGGGCTCTGCCAAAAGCATTAAAAATCTTTATTATTTGTTCACGTTTCGCGTGTCAGGCGACGGGCGACGGGGCGACAAAAAGCCAGACCCAAGCAAGCTTCAGCTCGAATGCGAAATGCAAATTGAATTTGAAAATTGCGAGCGACACTTGACGGCCTGTCTACGAAAAAATAAAAAAAAAGTTCAATAAAATGCAAAACAACAAATAAAAGAATAAAAACCGCAATGTGCCAAACTAGAGGCGGGGGAGAGGGACATAACGCTTTGCTTGGACTCCCCATTGAGTGGCCGCTCCCCCCTCATTCATTGCCACCTCAGTGGAGATCTCTGAATGGTTCTGTCCAGCGCCAGACGGCAGGCAGCCAATGCTCCACAGCGGTGAATGGAATGGAATGGAATGGATATTTAGCTGTGTCTGGAATTTGATTAAAATAATTTACTGATGCTGGCAGCAGTCTGGCAGCTTCTTGTGAGCTATAGACGAGACATATGCAGGTGTACAGTGCGTCTCAGAGCTATATATCTATATAATGTATGTAGAGTGAGCTGTGCACTCTTTCATGCGTATAATTGGTCAAGTTATCGATAAACTTCGCTTCTATCATCATCCATAGCTTCAATAGCTCTCTTCCCCTTTCGCTATTATGGCCATGAAACGAACTGTACCACTCATTTTATTCATGCTACATGTGATTATTATTATTATACATATTTCGTGATTTATGCCGACATGCGTGACATTATTTCATTGCAAGTGACAATTTGAGGCGTTGTTGCTGGCACTGGCACTAGAACTGGAACCCAATCCAAACAAATGAATATTTTTATTCACGAGTACACGAGTACACTCGTAAATTATATTCGAACGAATGTTTTGGCATCCTCCAAGGTGCCATACGGGCACCTGGATCATGATGCAACCTGACAGCGTACCCGACCGTACCCATCGATTGTTGCATATTAAACAGTAGTCCCGGGCGTCTGCCACGGGCGTGGCCTTGGCACGCCTGCCATCGATAATAGTTTCCTGTGGAAAATGGCAAACAAATAGACAGAATGACAGGAATTCATCTGAAATCCACATGTCAACACTCAAAGGGGGGCGCATGGGGAGGGGGGACACATGTTGCAGCTACAATTAACAGCAGCAGAATGTATTGCAAGTTGTCTGGCTATGCTCTGGCAAAGGGTCGCTCGATTTCGATTATATGTTTGCCATGTAACGGGGAAGTAGGTTTTTCTGAATCTATGTGGAATAGTTTTCATGGCAACGATCATTCTGGAAGGGTATTCCCTGCCCTAGTCCATGATTTTTCTCTTGTTTACTGTAACCTTGTAAGCCATCAACACAGCAAAAGAGAGAGTGAGCGAGAGGGGGTTGTGTAACGGGGCGCTGCGTGTGTATGTTCCCCAAGTGCAACACGCGCCAGGGCTTAGGGCTTCCCCTCCTCCCTCTCTTTTTTTGCCAATCCTGGCTGACAGCTTTGACCGAGGGAGAGCTTCTAGCTGGCTTCTGGCGTGACGGAAATAGCAGCAACGCACTTGCCATAACACAATCTGCGTTTTACTCAATTGGAACCCTTCCATCCCATCCATCCATCCTTCCTTCCTTCCATCCTTCCGCAAATTAACACAACCCCAACCCTGCCCTGCCCCTGCCCCTGCATTGCCCCTGCCTTCCGCCTACTGAGTGAGCCACACTGAAAGTTGTGTAAATGTTTTTTAAATTGCAGATATTTAATCAAGTGTGATGTCTGGTGCCTTGCTGCTGACACTGTCTCGCACCACTTTGTATGCATGTCAAACAATTAATTAGTGCACAATTCTCTCTCTCTCTCTCTCTCTCTCTCTTTCTCTCTATGTCTCTCCATCTTGCTTTACTCTTTTTTCTTTTTGATAATTTTGCTAATTTTTGCTTCTGTTTTAGCAAGTTGTTCGCCTTGAACTTATTTCGCCTTTTGGTTGGGCTTTATTCTGATGAGAATCGAAGCTGAACTAATCGATTGCCAGATCTCTTATCAAATGGAGTAGCGCTGGGTTCATTCTTGCCTCCAACTGCTCCCAAGTTGATTGGTTGATCGTAATTTACTTTTTTTGTACTACCCTCCTTCAAAAATATTTAAAATCTGCTTAATGAATCAACCAAAAATCCATTTGTGATGTCATATTTTTTGTTAACACAAAACTTAGCTACACCAGATGTCGCCTGTGAACTCTAAAAGTGCACAAACTCATACCAGTATATACATATGTATGCAGGTATACTCGTATATATGTATGTACATATGTATGTATGCATGTATGAATAATCATTTTGCGGTGCGCCTACAGTTCATTGAACGGAACAGGCGACGATGAACAGCATTTGCTGCGGTTCTTACTCATTTTTGGCTGAGTTTTACCTAATTAAGTCAACAAAGTGGGGAAAATCCAACACGCAGTGGAACACACCGCAATCCCCCCTCCTGTGATTGTCTGGCTACCGAAAATTGTTATAACAAATCCAAAAAATAAGGAAAATATGGTATTGATTAGGGAAAAACAAGGAATGCTCTTTGGAAAGTAAAGATTCTTCAATGGAGAATGAATATATCCTGTACCTTCGATATGAAACGATCAAGAAACAATCATAATGGATAGCTTCGCGCCCGAAAGATCTTCAAGAAGAAAAATGTATTCCGATAATATAATATTCTCTCAGCTGTCTCTCAAAAAATATCCCTGCGCAGAATGGGTCGTAAATATCACTCCCCAAAAGATGTTAGCCAAAATCTGGATACCCCTTTTGTTAGAGTATCAAAAGCAGAGCCTGTTTGTCGCTTCTAAGCGCCAGAAACAACAAACAAAATCAAATGCAATTATTAGACCACGCATAATAATAACAAAATTAAGCATAATTTTGTAGACATAGACGGGAGCACTTAATAAAATTATCCCCCCCACCACAACAAAGCGGGGACTGTGGGGAAACAGAAGTGGCGTGAGGGGCAGTCTGACACCCGTCTGGCAACGACCCCAACGACACTAACTTATTAACACGAACCGCGAAAGTTTCATTTCTTTGGTGGGTATTTTTTTTTTGTACAGACCAATTTGCCCTCTAATTGGGTCGAGACATGGGGCACGGGGCAAGTTCAGACACGTCAAAAAGTCCCCATAAAGTCGTAGCAGTCTATGCAAAGGGATTCATTGCGTAAACCTTGTTCCAAATATAATCCCAGTCACTATCAGACTTTCTACCCACATAATCACATCCGAACTTTGAGCAATGGAAAACATAACGACTGACAACGAACAAATAAACGGCAACAGTTTTAAGGGCTATGTACACGCATTCCTGTGGGTACACAGCTGGAAGAGCTATGCACGCGCATTCCTGTGGCTGTTCTTCGGCGTTTTTGCCCTGGTCAAGGCTTTTCACATTCTCGATTACTATTTCAACGTTCGCATGACGCCGAAGTACAAGCTCCGCTCGACGGAGCACAAGTGGGAGGAGATGTTGATGCTGAACCAGGAGATGAAAAAGATGAGCGACTCTCAGATGGAGAAACTGCGCCAGAGGAACAAGAAACTCGAAGGCTTGATATTGGAACTGGAGGAGTGCAATCGCCAATTGATCAACGAAAACTATATCCGCCCATCAGCGATGGATAACGAAGAGATGGGAAAAGAGCCCACGAACCCTTACAATGTCTTTATAAAGAATAATCACTTTCACCTGATCAATCAGATGTTTGTTAACGGAGGACACTTCGATCTGAACATCGCGAACTCTTCGCTGCCACCAAAAAGTGAGCCTAATATCTGGATGAAGTACCTCAAGCAACGCAAGTCCCTGATGCCGTGCCAGTCCATTGTCGATGACAAGTCTATGATTGAAAACACTCCCGGCCGCACAGAGCCCACCATAATGGGCACCGAGGAGATGGTGCAGATGCAGGGTGAGTAAAACTCGATAAATCGAAAAGGTTGCTCCATTCTGAAATCTGGCATTTCTTTTCAGGCATGAGCTCTTTTACGAGTATTTCTGCCTAGCTCTTCGTTCTTTTGTTTAACCGCATTCCAAAAATTTGTTAAAGTTGCAGCAGCATAAAAAATCGCAAAAAAAAAGAATACACAATGACACTAAATATATACACTAAATACATAAGAACACTACAAATATCAGATTTTATCTTTTATCAAAGGTTTGGATATCGATTTATCGATTAAGTGTCTCTTCTTCCCCCTTGCAGACAATTGATTAGTTTATAGCTGTTTCCTTGCATCTGAACACGTGAATATTTATCCTTTTGCCTCTCTTAATTTTCCCTGAACCTGCAGAATGTCGCGCCGGTCATCAGCATCAGCGGGAATCGATAAATTTCGATTTCCTTTTTCAATCATTTCAAACGGAAATGTCGAATACTCTTTGGGTTCGTGTTGATTTATTTGCATAAAAGATATATAAATATATTTATTTCTTTTATCCAATTTCCGTTAAGTGCTAAACCGTTTCTATTTGCTCTTGCCGACTCCCCCAAAGACCAACCCCCACCCCCCAGACTCCCGCATGGCATCTGCCGAAGAGGAAACAAAACAAATGCAAAAATATGCGTCTTCCCGTCGAGTTTTGTTCCATGTGGAACCAATCTGTGGAGCCGAACCGCTCCCTGGGACCGCTGAGACGATGACTTATCAACGCAGAATTAAGCGATTGCTTTCTTCCCTCTCTCGCACACTCTCTCCCAGTATATCTCTCTTTTTACTCTCTTTTTGCTCTGCCTGCTTTGGGGTCAGTGGCAGTTATCGTTGCAATTTTGTAATCAGTCGCCGGCTCAAGGTTAAATTCTCGCCGCGGCACAGTGGGGCAATCGCTATGGGGTTTAGGGTCTACTTCTCCAACTCCTTATGCTTCCGTTGTCTCCTTATTTTGTTTGCTTCCCATATCGAGGGTCGCCATATTTGTTTTCCATTTGCTCTGGGTCTCGTTTCTTGTTTTATTTTTTTGTTATGGCTACTTTGTGGGTCATTTGCCCGTCTGGCTCTCAAAATTTCTTTACGTATATTGTACAATACAAATAAGCATATACATATACATATATGTGTTCCCATATGTACATATGTATATGTATGTACTTGGAAGCGACGTGGTTTTTGTATGTATGTTTGTGCATTTCGTTTTTAATTTGAGTTTGTCACTTTGTTGATTTAGATTTATGGCCATTTAAATGCAATTCCATTGTATTTACTGGATCACTTTTTGTGAACTGAATTGTGTCTACCTCTCTCTGCCTCTCTTGCCCGCCATCTATCCCTCTCTTTCGCTCTTGCTGGTGATGATTGTTGATGATGATAATGATGCAGGCTCCATCGATTAGCGGTGATTGTTGCAAGAACCAAATTGGGGCCTGATGAAGTCATTGACTCAAAGAGCAGACAAATTGATGACATTGGCTATCGATAACGACATATTTAAGATAACTAGAAAACATTGAAGATACAGATATCGATTTAAAATCGATTAAAAGCTTTCGACAAGAAACTTATGCAAAATTCTATAATTCGTGTCCTTGCAACATCACCTTCCACCCGTATGATCCGCTTCTCCCATTCTCGCAGTGTCAGGGTCTCGGTGCCAGCAACAAACGTCATTGAAGGGCCCGGCCCGCATCTTTTAATTGTTATCGTCTGGTGCCAGCCATCGCAATCCTCCTCCCGAACCTTCCCCCCGCATACTCACACGCATTGCATAAAGCCAAGACCCCACGCCATGACGCATCTCTTGAAGGACCTTTCCATAGCCAAGCCCCAAGTCTTATGCCACGCAAATGAAGACTGTTATTATTTATAGATCATGGAACGGGAACAAAGGGAGCAAATTTACAGTTGACCAAATTTGGTGGGGGGTGGGGGCATGACATTTGCATAGATAATTTGTTTACCACAGCGAATCACAAATGATTTCGCACAGTAACCCACAAAGAACACATCCCCAAGCGAAGAAGAGAGCAAGTGCTTGTGTGTGTGTGTGTGTGTGTGTGTGTGTGTGTGGGGGGGGGGGGGGGGGAACAATCTAATCGTTAATTGGCACACTAACCCCAAACACAGAGATTCCGCTGCCATTGGCCCCATTCCACAGCACTCACTGATAAAAATAGTTTATTTTTTATCAAGGTTGCTTGCCAAAATAGAAAAAAAAAAAAAACCACCCACAAAAAGCGAAAGTGAAAGCCAAAGCAAAGGCGAAGTGCGAATGCGAGGGCGTGTGGTTAGATAGGGAGAGCTAGCCGAATACAATTGAAGGCAACCGACCTTGAGATAATGCCCTCATTTTTTTTTTAATTTGAAAATTTGTTTATTTAACAACAAATTGGTACTCGTCTAATAGGAGAACCAGGAACTCAATGGGGCAGGGTCTATGGGGAACATCTATTGTACAAAGAAAATGTTTACAAAAGAAATGGAATTATTATGGAAAGCGCTTCAAAAATTCCATTCAACAGATTAGAGAAACAGTAACTGTAAATTTAATTGAGATACATACCTAGTATGTTGATATCAACCAATGAAGAACTTTGATTTCATTTCAATTCAATCCTTAAATTTTGTTATGCCAAATCACACAATTCGGATTCAAACCAGTTTCAATTTTGCATTCAATTTAACCAAAGATTCAGTTAAATAAAAACCTGAACAAATAAATCAACATTTGACATGAACGGCATCATAAAGTGGAAAATAATAAAGCCAAGCAACAAAAAGAACTGCAGCAGAAAAGTTCATTAACATCAGAATTCAGAATATCTAAACAGCTGAGTGAAACGACTGCGAATCATACGAAAACAATTTATTGGAATTAAAAAAATGAGACACACACAAACAGTTTTTATGGGTCAATGTGCTAGTTTTTTTTTTCGGATCTAGAAGATCATTGACACTGCACACCCAAAATCGAAACGAGATTAGATCAGATCGAATGGGATTCTGCGGTGAGGCTCCATGCTCCATGCTTCATGGATAATCCTCCTGCCTCTGGAAACATTCCCCCCGCATAAAAATCGTAGACAGCAGCGAGACCCCAATGAAATGTTTGTTTGCCCAAAAATTAGGGTCAGGGCTAGCCTCTGTCCCACTATCAAGTGTCGGTCGTCTACGCTTTGTTCTCTTTGACTGCGAATGTATGTATCTGTGCCTGTGTGTATCTGTATCTGTGTCATGCGAAAGCGAAAAGAAACAGGCAGGCACACACTCTGGCAGACAGGCCAGTAAATGTTCATGACTCCCATTCTAATTTCATTTAAATGCCTTACAAACACACACACACACACACATACAACCTTATATATTTACATATATATACAGATAGAGAGTGAGAGAGAGAGAGAGAGTCTGGGGGTCTGCTTGTCTGAATTTTCTATATACAAAAATTGCAGCCGACGCGTCGGCCATTTTGGTTTTACTTTTATTTCGTTGATTTTTGCTTTCTTTTCTTCTTTTTGTATCCCCAAAATTCTGTCTGCCTCCCTCCCCCTAAGCCGCCACCACCACCACCACCTTCTACCTTAATCTGACGCCACGCCCCTGCCCACTCACACGCCCTCTCTCCCACAATAATCAGCGTCATTGTGTCGTGTTTTTTGAGGCGCAAAACGTGTTGCCATCGTTTTGTTGTTTTTTGCTGCTGCTTTTTACGAACTTTTTTCTTTGTATTTGTTGTTACTGGTGGAGCAAATATTTGCAATTCTCTTGCTTTGTCTGTCTGCACCAATAAAGTTTTGAACTTTATTATTCTTTGGAGGATTTTGGGCTAAACAAAATAGAAGCTACAGAAAAGCTTAGAGATTCTAATATAGAATCTTGTGTGAAGATCATTGGATGGAATGCTTTGGATGGTAACCGGTTCTATTTATTGTTTACAATGTATCAATAAATAGCCACACATAATGGAAATAGAATAGATAAATTTGATTAAAAAGCGGCCTAAAAAGAAGCACCAACACAGCGGTTCTCAACCGGTCCTGTGGCGCAATGGATAACGCGTCTGACTACGGATCAGAAGATTCCAGGTTCGACTCCTGGCAGGATCGCACAGATCAACTTTTTTTTATTTATTATTTTCTATGACACTACTGAAATAAAGACAATTACATAAAAATATATTTTTGTTTATACAAAATACATTTAAGAAAAAAAATTGACAAAAAATTTGATTTCGCCCAACGTGGGGCTCGAACCCACGACCCTGAGATTAAGAGTCTCATGCTCTACCGACTGAGCTAGCCGGGCACTTGTTCTTCGCTGCTCCCATCGCCCAAATGAGGAGGGAGCCCAAGATGAGAACATTTTGGCAGCAGATGAAGAACAAGAACCCATAATCATGGGGGAGGATAAGAAAAACCGCACCACGAAGACAGTTTGAGGCCACAGGGCGTATGCGTAATGTAGTTCTTAGGGTTTTATACAAAGAGAGAGAGAGTGGGTGAATGATTCAGGTCAAACTAATTAGCTTTAATGAGGTGGATAAGCTGTCCAGCTTATAAATAAATAATCCATGCTTGCCCGAAGACAAACGGCATAACTACTCAGCGCAGCCTGAATTCATAATTCGTATAAATGTGCCTAAAAGAGTATCACAGTATGCATATGTATGTATATGTATAATACATACATATGTAATATATCTATGTCATTACACGATAATTTTTCGCTTTAATAAGCTTCACTATTTGCTTAATCAGTCGAGAGAGAGAGAGAGAGAGAGAACACACTGTAAAGAGAGAGAGAGCGATTCATTCATTCATTGTCGCTGCTCTCTGGCTCGAAACTATTCATAGATTTCTATTTCATTTTCACCCTGACCCACCGCAATAGTTTTCATATTGTTGGGTGCCACACCACCCCTTGCGCGGCGCGGCGCGGCTCGACAGCTGCAACAACTACAACAAATGCCGACAACTATTTATGGCAAAATTCATTCGGGTTGTTGTTGTTTTAATGGCTGGCTTTCTATCAAAGTTGTTTCGCTCTGGGATTTTTTCCTCTTCTTTTTTTCGCCACAGTTCATTGAGCGATTCATGATTCATGATAACACGCACATTTTTCTGTACGCACAGAACATACAACTTTTAGCACAAACAAAAAAGTGCGAATTATATTCGGTGGCAGACAGTCAAGTGTGTA